TGATGACTGATTCCTAGTTTACTCTTATACCACAATATGCCCCATAGGTGAATGCAACTTCTTGCCTGAGTAGACACCTGCATAGGCTCTTTTTGAAAAGAAATGAGTTTCAAACGCTAGCGTGGTTCTTTAGTACAATACTTGACTGTTACACTAATGGCTCGGGTTGAAGCTTTACTGGCTCAAGCGTACATTTTCATTTCGTTTTTTTTCATACGTATTGGTTAAGCTAACAGTAACAAGGCTATACAGATGAAGAGATAGCAAAGAGCTGCGCTCTAAAACATATAGGTTATGAATGCTGTTAGTGAACTTATTTTATACAATTGGCATTTTGTACTTGTTTCTGATTGAATAATATGTGGGGTTTAACGTTTCAAAATCCCCAGATGTATATGAGAGACACCACAGTGGATGGATCCAGAAATTTTGACCACCTCAAATTAGCGTAACGTGCATCCTAAATTAAGCACAAGGGCCTCAAGCATTTTAGCATCAATCAGACATGCCGCTACCCAAGCCGGCATTCTTTGCCGTGACCTGTGGATCAGCAGCCTTCGTTTTTTTATCAAGTATTTTATAAAGCACGTTGCAGGGCCTCTCAAGCGGGATCACGTTTGCTTCAAAAGACCATTTGCAACTCCAAAATGCCACCACAAAGTTTGTACAAGCGAAATTGAACAGTTTGATCAAATACAATTCCGATAGCCCCGATTGGACGCGTGAATATCGCTACGTGATATGTACGAGTTTTAGCGTGAGAATGATGCTCAATTGCGTTATCATGCCGTTAATCACTGCGCCATCAATCAGAGTGGAAGTTCTACGAATTACCCCTGTAGAAGACACAGGCAGCCTTTTTAATGACTAATAATGTGCGTCAATGCTATAAAAAGTGTATCAGTCGTATCAACTGGAAGGCGTGAACAAAAGAAGTATTTAGGATCGTTTTACTAGCCTTACTGACACATGTCAATCAAGAAGAATAGAAGGAAAGCACTCCTAAAAACGCGATTTTACATGAAATGGACTACTTTTCATTCACACACACAAAATAAGAAAGAACTTTTAAAGGAAGGGTGGCCGAATGTATATACCGGAATACAGTAGAGTAAGGCCTCTGGTCTGGTTATTTCCTCCATCGCTCGTGAATGCTCGAGTGTACATCTGTGGATGACTGATTAACATTCCTCATAGGTTAACCGCAATGTAGCGTAAGAGATTTTGGCAGTAAGGTGATGACTGGAGCTAGTTGATGGTTCATGTCGATGTCTTCATTATGCATCCTTTTAGCAACAGTAACGAAGAAGAAGACGCAGAGGCCGACTTGTTTCTCGTCAACGTATGTTCGTGTCTGCGCCTTTTCGTGGGTATTTTTGAATCAGTCTGTGACCAAGACATCAATGTTGGCTGGCTCAGATATAGTATGCGGAGTTCGATAAAATTTATAGTCGCGTCTACACCAACACTAACTGTGTCCAATGTGGCAACTGACACTAAAAGAAGTGCTTTAGACAAGAAAAGCGACGGCAAGCACACAACCACAGTGACTGCCCACGTGCAGGCCACACGCTGGTGATGCCCACCTGCCATTTTTTATTGTCGGGACAGGCATGCCGAGAACCAAGTGCGTTCACAGTCGTTACCCATATGTCAGCGTCATCCTGGAAGCCTCAGAACTCCAGTACTTCTGAAAGAGCGGTGTATGGTGTGGCGGCCGGCTGGACCCTGGAGCTCGACGATGCCATGCGGTTTAGCTGTTTGGACAACAGTTGCGTGAGAGCACGCAAGAGCTCTGCGCAGCTCTGGGATTAAGTGCCTCATGAGCAAAGAACCACGTCCGCATCGTATTCGGTGGTTGTAGCACTCACAGAAGGGAGGCCCATGGCCACGGAAGCGTGAATGGCCTCTCTTGACGGCTCCTGTAAAGGTAAAGTGGATCTTGAGGGATCCACGCCTTTGAAAGCGTGAACCGAGTTCTCATAAAGAAGCCCGTGCGCATTGTACGTGCGAAGTAGCACGCCACTGGTCAAATAGTTCTCCGGGATCATCATGGAGGCCAGGACGACGTCCGCTGGTGGTGGGATGGATACTTGTGGTCGTGGCCAACTTTCGGGTTCCATCAAACAGGAATCCTGGCAACATTCCGCTGAAAAGCATGTTACCTCAAAACAGCAGCTGGGGACCGCCCAAAATTTTCAGACAGGCGCCATTTGAAGGAAGCAGACAGACACAGCACTTGGTCGTGTCCTATGAAGCTGTTGTATTCTCTATATTCGTTGTTCTCGTCTTCCCAGTTTAGTCTAGCACGCGCCTGTGTGCCAGCGGCATTGTCATTCTTACAGTAGCAATGTCCAGGGCAACCACTTTGGCGAGGAAAAGCGGTGTATGTCAGCTGGCCGTTTGTGGAATTGCTAATACGGATGTTGTTTGTGGTATCATTACGTTGCGAAGCTGTAGAAAACTGTATATGCAAAACAAATGTGACAGTTCAACATATAGCGGTGCGCACAAGAATTGTAAATATCTTTATTGTACTTTCGTAACGTTTCGCCTAATGAAAAATTAAGAACAGTCATTTTTGCTCTCCATACTTCTCACATCATGTTGATTGCTAATGTACATGAGATCTGCGATTCTTCTTTACTTTTTAGCTGTAGAAAACTATCGTGTTTGTGTATTGGCGTGTGCGTTCTTTAGTTAATTATTACTTTTCTTTAACGGGGGCGTATTTACTATCAGGATGGCCCAGTGTACGCGACTGCTTCAACACTTATTTTCCTATTTGTTTAATTTTATTTCTTTTTTTGTGTTCTTTTGTGCAAGGGCTCGGGCAGGACATCGTTTTATAGCTGTGGAGATCAGTGAGCCTCCCATTGCTGTTGGACGCACCACCAGTAGGAAGGAGGTAGCCCTGCTTTACTGTTATGCTGCTTCAAATGCAAAAGGCTAAACACGACACGTCGTGCAGTCATGGCATGCAAACAGTTCGCCACTTGATGTTCCCAAATGACGAAGCGAATGACCGCACGCTCCGACTTCGTGAAACTGTTAGTGCGTGGAAGTGTGTGTTGAGTGGGATAGTTTTTGTCAGCGTGCGTGTATGTGTGTCAGGTTCGAACAGACTGACACGCACACTGTTGCCGCTCTGTCTCATACGCGCACACATACGTACTCACATACAAGCAGCTTTGTTCACACTCTGTTTATGGTTTTTCCCGCGCTTTTCGCGGGAAGAACTAAAGATAAAATGGCAACAGTAAGTGAAGGAAGAGTGTGCAAAGCGCGAGTAACTTGAATGGTTGTGCGTTGTGCGACTTGCGGATACGCGCAGCCTTGGGCGGTTGCGCGATAAATATTGTAATCGAAAGTAGTATATGAGTTTAGCCTTACCTTTTTACTATTTGAAGAGTACGTCATGTGTTCATTTACCGTATTTCGATTGCCGGCCATCTATTCGAAATACCAACACTCAGCCGATGGATCGCTATTTTGTAGCTTTTTACCCTAACTATGCCCAGGAGATGTGCGGTTTGTGCCTCCAAAAATTAAATGAATATTAAGTTTGAGTTGATGTGACATAACAATCACTCTTCTTCGCGCATTTCCTGTGGAAAGCTAAAGTATTCGCCAGAAATATTAGTTGGCTGATGAAAAGAATTTCTCGAAATGTTTCACAAACTTACACATACGCACATACATACTTTTAAAGCGCTGGCTCCTGATCTGTTTAATTGTTTCGCTAAATAGGTACAGTAGAATGAAGGCGGCAAAAAGTGAAGACGAGAAATTAAACTTCGTGAAATGCGACCCACGTTAATAAGCGCGTTAGAATAGTTTGTTCTCAACTCTCTAACCCCGTGAGCGTTTTCTCACGTTTACAACACTCGAATTGCTAGTTTCTGCCGATGTTGGAGCTTCATATTTGAATCATTCCTTATTACAGAGACCATAATGAACTTAAAATTAGCCTTAGTTGAATTAAAATTCAGCCACAAGAAATTTATGTGTTTAGAAAAAAGTGGTTAACAATTTAGAGCACTTGCTGCTCTACTGTAGGAAAGCTTAAAGCTGTCCCGTGGGCCTCAACACGTGATTGCCAACATTTCGTTTCATAGGTGGCAATGCCCTCTTCTTCCACATTTTAAACAGTACCTGAAGTCAATTAAATTGGCATTGAAAACTGAAACATACCATCACTAAAAATGGCAAGCTTCTTTTTATTTCTGTTTCGCAACGCTTACCAGCTTACACCACAGCAAGTATTTTACCAAAATATAGAGTATAGTGCCAAACGTCTGTTGTCTGCGTGACTGCTGTGTTGCCATGAGCCTCATGCTTGAACACCCTAAATGACTGCCGTAAAAATTACTGGAATAGGAAGAACGGTCTATTTGCAGTGTATAAATAGCCCATTCACACAGTCTAAATTTGTTTTAATAATGAAATAAGCTACTAAGGGAACCTAAAACACTACATGCTTAAGGTAGTGGTGGTGCATCTAGGAAACCGATGCACATACAAACTTATAGAACTCTCTGAACTAAAAGAGTGAGATATTTGCTTGTAGTTCTGCTCATCAGGATGAAGCTGTCAGCGCGAAAACTAAGCAAAACTTTGTTGTACTTTATGCTTTCAGCCAGACCACTAGCTAGTGCAGTTTTATCTGGTAATAAAAGTGCAATAGCTTTTTTGCTTGCGAAATTCTCACCATTATAACAGAAACATGCATCTCTTCTGGGTCGGAATTATCATAATCGAGAAACAGTTTGCTTTATAATGATCACAAAGAACGAAATACAAAATATACCTTAAAATATTTTCAAAAACTTTGAAAGAGCATTCGTGCTCCCCGTACACTTGCCCTAGGGCTTGCCTAAGACGGGCAAAAGTTTAGGCAGTCCGGGTAACTTTTTTCAGCCGACGCTGACCTGCCTTGCGCAGGTGTCAGTTTGAGTGAACGCATTGCAGTGTAATAAGCTTCCTCATGGCATGAGATGTTCACTTTAGAAAGTAGGTTTTATTTCTCATATTCCGGGCAATCTTTCAGGTATCCGTCGTATACTGTATCTTTGCAAATAGCGTGAAATAATGTCAATGTATATGCGTCCACCCTACCTTTACCTTTATAGTCTTTCTTCGCCCAAATGGAACATAGTGGTTGTTCTGTAAAAAAAAAAATGTTGAGTCAATGTTTATGAGCCACGAAATGTTGAATACGTAAACAAATGACCACGCATCTACGTGCCCTCACGGCAAAGGACATTGTAAGATGATAGTCTTCTCTGCGGAGAGCCTTCATGTGCGTGCCGGCTCCCGGTAAAGGAGACACGTTAAAAGATATCTAGCCTCCAATTGTTGAATAAACCATTGAGGGGCCAGCGTTCAACAAAAGAAAACATTTGCACAAAGAAACGTTGGTGGTGTTTGATCTGCAAGGAGCTTCGAAGCAACACAACCCCACGTTCCATGTAGATTCTATGCATGGAGTCCGAAGGAATGGCTCTTTAAGTCTGCGTAAGGGTACACAAGGTGAATTTAAAGTCTACTATTGCCAAAACTGAAGAAATAAAATTTCCGCCATGTTTAGCTCTGCCCCACACAGCCTGTCGTTTCACGTTTCAGGTTGGGGTGAAATGAAACACTTGAAGCCTTCCTTATTTGTTTTTGAAATAATCTTTTGAGTTGTGTTAATATGGCAGTATTATTTAGCACATACTTTTTACCTCATCGAAAGTTTCTGCATTGATAGTTATTTGTAAGGAGGGGAACAAAAACAAAAATTTACTTGTTTAAAATTGTTCTTGCATTTTACCCCATCCCACCCTAATTTCTTTCCTGTCACTAAAGACTCACTGCTGCAATTGACAATATTATTTAACACCACTGCTACAATCAACATGTTACCACCGAAAAACTGCCAGGTCCACGCGGAACGTGCAGCACAGTCACAGCGAAAGCTGGAAGAGCGTCTTTTTAGAACTTTTCTTAAACGCCCTTTGGTTAGGTGCAACGACAATGCCATGGTAGCCACTACAAAATAATTTCTATTTTTTACGCAACAGCTCTATAAAAGAATGTTTACTTACGTGGATCGGAATAAGTTTCGTGAGTCACGCAGACTCGAGTGGAACGAAATACACAATCTCTGCAGCAGTAAATGAAAATGCTGCTGCAGGACTCAAGGGCGGTTACCAAGACTATTAAGGCAGAGGCACAAAAAGAAAAAATGGACAGTCGGCTTGCGATTCACTGAAGACAAGGAAGTCGCTATTCACAAGATGGCATGGTCAGAGGCCTAATTGTAAGCTTCGGAAAAAGATTGAGTAGGTAAATATGCCAATTGAAGACTATACCGAAACTTGTATAGGCAGCAATGGGATGCAACAGGTAAGTCAGTCAATAGACAAATGTGAATCGCACGTAAACGGAACATTTTAAGACACCTGCTTGAGGACTCAGGCACACAACATAATCAGAAAGGGTTCTCGCTACAGCACTTCATCTGCCTTAAAAGTCCTCGTCGCAAGCGGAGCTATCGGGGCAGCTTGCTAAGAAGTATCTACCGCAAGCAGCCGATTCTATTGTGGAAGCCTATCCGATATATAATGGAACACCTTTTTCCTATTTGGATGAACCCTTCAGCACCAGCAATATGTGACGTTCCGGCACGAACTCAATGACTGATCGGCACCAGGTCCGGATATGATCACGAACGAAGCGCTCCGGAATTTGGTAGAAGACTCTGTTGAATTTCTTACCGATGAGATGAGTAGGAATATGAGGGGAGGTGATATACCAGAGCAATAAAAGTTAGCGAACGGAATCCACAATTCCAAGCCCGGTAAAGCACCAATTTTGGATAATACGCGCCCCCATCTCTCTCACGTCATGCGTAGGAAGGGTGGCAGAACAGGTTATGCAGTATTGAATGGAGGATTGCATAGAACACATTGATCTTTTTCCTCATTACATAGGTCGCTCTAGGCCGAATTTATCCACCCAGAATGCCTTCAAATCTATTATACCAGAGACACTAAGGTGATCCTAGGCTTGGAGTGAAGAAAAGCATTTCACAATGTCTGTCATGTTTATATTTTAGATGAAAGCTCTTGTGTCAACCTAGGCTCCTCATTTCATGCGTTCGTCAGTTTTTTCCTGAGTGGTCATAAAACGATTCTTAAAGTTCAAGATCTAGAATCGAATATGCAAGTGCTGAGAGATGGAAGCACCCCACAGGGATCTGCTCTATCACCCTTACTTTTTTACATCGTCATGGCTTGTCTCTCGAGGGAGCTTTTTGGAATTCCAGATGTTGGTCACAATTTGTGCCGATGATATCACTATTTCTGTACAGGAAGGAGTGATGGCACTATAGAGGACGCAGGCCTTTTTTCTCCCCTGAAAAGCTTGAGCTTCTCCTTTGTAACCCGGTCAAGAAGGGCCGTCAACCATGAGGCTGGGTGCCACCCCTATAGAACGACATCCACTTACATACCAACAGTGGCCGATTAATCCCCAAAGTCACTTTCATTCTGATCTTGGGTACGCGCTAAGGGCAACGGGCACCAATAATATTGCCGCGACAGGTTGGCCACGTTTAAGTAGCCCGCCTCAATCATCGTGGCAAGAGCACAAGCAAGACCCGGCTGGCATGCGCCACGCGTTCGTGCGCTCCAACAACGAGGAAGAGGAAGATAGTTGGATCTGTGCCACTCGGCTACTCGGACTTGACGACCATAGTCTTCAGAATCATGGGAACAAGTTCGCCCTAATAAATACGCTTGTTTTTTAACCTGTCAGCCTCAGCATCGCTACATTTCTGGTGGAGTTGCTGGGTTATAAATCGAAGCCCCGTGAGCTCAAGACAGCGTAGTCCCGACGACCAGCGTATCAACCCCGTGGAAGTGACTTCTGTACACCAGAGGACAAGTCGCCGTCTTCGAGGTGACTCACCTGAGTTTGGTCCTCTTCACTTCACACCAAGGGGAATTCAAACGATGGATGCCACCACTATGACTACCCAGGTAACACCGGCACAAGTGTTCATTAGCCAACCGCACCAACCGCCAGTATTCCACGGCGACTCGTACGAGGATGTTGAAGATTGGTTGGACCTGTTCGAGAGAGTGGCGAGCTTGAATGGATGGGACGAAAGAGAGAAGCTCCGTCGCGTATACTTCGCCCTGGAAGACTTCGCAAAGACATGGTTTGAGAACCATCAAACCTCGTTGTCTACCTGGGAGCTGTTTCGTCGACAAGCGGTGGCTATGTTCGCGAACATAGACCGGAAAGAAAAAACGGAGGCTGCTCTTCAATCGAGGAACCAGCTCACGAACGAGAGTGCTGCTATGTACATTGAGGACATGGTCCGTCTGTTCAAGCGAGCGGATTACAACATGGCTGAGGATAAGAAGGGGCGCCATCTAATGCGCGGAGTGAAGCAAGAGCTGTTCGCCGTTCTCGTCCGCAACCCTCCAAGCACAGTTGCTGAGTTTTACTCGGAAGCGACAGCCATCGAAAAAAAACTGGAACAGCGGGCTTGGCAGTACAACCGGAATCTTAACTGCGCATCTGCACAGGTATTCTCCGGAGGCGTGCGAAACGACGTTGAAGCCCTGCGAGAGCTCATTAGATCAGTTGTTAGAGAAGAACTGAGCAGACTGCAAATGCCCCAGACTCCAACTGCACTATCCGTTACGGACGTTGTTCGTGACGAACTGAGGCAGGTGATACGAGAGCCAGAGCGTGAGCTGCAGCCGGTTCGACCTATCCGAACATACTCTGAGGTTGTCAGAGAACCCACGGTACACAGAAATGCAGCAGTTTCGATGGCGCCGACTCCTCTCCCACCTGCGGCACACAGCGCACCTCGTCCACGGGAACCAACAGCTACCTATCTGCCCCCAGGAGCACGTCGCACACATCACTATGTGGAGCGTAGGCCCAGGAAAAGTGACGTCTGGCGTGATCACGAGCGCAGGCCTCTGTGTTTTCATTGTGGGGAAGCGGGTCATCTGTACAGATTGTGTCCTTACCGACAGGCTCGATTAAGAGGCTTCCCGTCGTATGCACCGTGCCCCCGAAACGGCGAACGACCAGCGGAGATGGAGGAGTACTTGTCCACGCGCCAGAATTTGCCAACTCTACACCAACACCGGTCACGGTCACCATCACCTATGCGCGTCCGGTCCTCCAGCCCACGTTGACCTTCAAGGCAGCCTGGTCATCGCTCTCCAAGTCAACTCCCGGAAAATTGAAGCAAGCGACCTGTGGAGATGAGGCCGCTGATAACGTTAGTTACGAAGATCCTCCAATATGGTTTGAGGGTGATGACGGTGTAGTTTTGGTAGATGGGTGCAACAACAAAAACGTTACTTCAGATTTGCGGTTGAGAATAGAAGGATGGGAGTTGAATGCCTTAATCGACACCGGTGCTGATTATTCAGTGATAAGTCACAAGATGGTAAAAAAGCTAAACGAAGTTTTGACACAGTGGAGTGGATCGCAGATACGCACGGCAGGCGGTCACATTATTACGCACCTTGGCAGATGCACTGCAAGACTTGAAATACGGGGCTTTATTTACGTGGCCGATTTCATTGTGCTGCCAGAATGTTCAAGGGAACTGATTATAGGAATGTATTTTTTGTGAGCTAATGGCGCCGTAATTAACCTGCGTAGATCCAGCGTGTCGTTTTTGACTGAACGAGCTATACCTGTGGAGGAATCTGAGGAACGACGCCTAACTGCTCTACGCGTTGTTCATGATGACGTAACTGTGCCGCCACGCTGCAGTATAATGGTGCTCGTAGAAAATAACACATTGTACAACCGCGAAGGCATAGCGGATACAAATGTAGGGCTGTTTTTGAACAAAGGTGTCTGCGTAGCTAGGGGTCTTGTTCACTTGACGAAAGGCCGTGCAGTTGTCCTCCTCACAAATTTTTCCAATGAAATTGAACACATCGCTCAAGGCACGGCTATTGCCTATTTACACGAATTCTGTATGGTGACTGAACTATGCAGCTTAACGACATCAACCACTCGACCAGTGACCTGCAACAACGACACATCCGTGACCGTCAATCAGAGCCTTCCGGACAGTAAAAAAAAAACAGATTTACGCCTTGGTAAAAGAATTCTCTGATTGCTTTTCAAGTGCC